TGCGTCCTTTATTCTTCATATTATTTTAGGAAAAATTTTAGAGAGTTATAAAACACAAGGTTCTAGTTCGCCGAACAAATTTGTTTGAAATGCTACTACAAATTTGTGAAGATCATTGTATCCTAGGAGATAGACGCCACATAACCGTAAGCACCGTAGCGGGGCGAATCTGTCTTAAGGACAGAGTGTCACACACTCGACTTGGTCTTTTATTTTTTTGGTTCAATAAAATAAATTATGTAAGTTATTTATTTTATTTTGTTTGATTTAGTTTCAATTTATTTTATTTTATTTTATTTTTTGATCTTTTATTTTGTTTGAACATGTTTTTGATACATAAATCAGAACATGTTTTTGATACATAATCTCGAAATGCATCTTTCTTTGAACATGTATTTCCAAATAAGACTGGACAAGAGACTAGTAACAATAAAAGATCTCATGATGCTATTACTAGTCAGGATCAAGAACATGATCAAGAACAAGAGTTAGATCAAAATGAGGAAGAGGAACCTAGGCGTAGTAAACGTGCTAGAACCTCAAAATCTTTTGGTCCAGATTTTCTAATATTTTTGTTAGAAAATGAGCCTTTAACTTTTAAAGAGGCTGTGTCTAGTCCTGAAGCTCCTTTATGGAAAGAAGCTATCAATAGTGAAGTTGAATCCATCTTGCAAAATCACACTTGGGAATTGATGGATTTGCCACCAGGCTGTAAACCTCTTGGGTACAAGTGGATTTTCAAAAGGAAATTGAAAGTGGATGATCAATTGACAAATACAAGACAAGACTTGTGGTCAAAGGATTTAGACAAAAAGAAGGTCTTAATTACTTTGACACATACTCACCGGTTACTAGAATAACATCTATTAGAATGCTAATTGCCATTGCATCTCTATACAATCTAGAAATTCATCAAATGGATGTTAAAACCGCTTTCTTAAATGGTGAGTTAAATGAAGAAATTTACATGGAACAACCAGAAGGGTTTTCTGTTCCAGGAAAAGAAAAGAAAGTGTGTAAATTGGTTAAATCATTATATGGTTTAAAACAAGCGCCAAAGTAATGGCATGAGAAATTTGACAAGGCAATGATGTCAAATGGATTTAAAATTAATGAGTGTGACAAATGTGTTTATATTAAAAACACAGATAAAGGTTATGTCATTGTATGTCTTTATGTAGATGATATGCTCATCATAGGTAGTAATAATGATATGATTAAAACTACCAAGAAAATGTTGAATAAACATTTTGACATGAAGGACATGGGCATGACTGATGTAGTTCTTGGTATGAAAATTACCAAAACATCAGAAGGTTATACTTTGTCACAATCTCATTACATTAAGAAAATACTTGACAAATTCAGCAAAGATGATGATCATCTTGCTAGAACACCTGTAGATGTTAATTTGTATCTTTCTAAGAATGTACAGGAAAGTATTTTTCAATTAGAGTATGCCCAAATTATTGGAAGCTTAATGTACTTGATGAACTGCACTCACCCAGATATAGCTAATGCAGTAAGTAAACTAAGTAGATATACAAGTAATCCGGGAGTAGAACACTGGAAAACAATTATAAGGGTTCTAAGATATCTCCGATTCACTTGTAACATTGGGCTGAATTATACAAGATATCCAGTAGTACTTGAAGGATACTGTGATGCAAATTGGATATCGGATACTAGAGGCTCAAAATCCACTAGTGGGTATGTCTTTACTCTTGGTGGGGCGGCTGTATCTTGGAAATCTTCCAAACAGATTTGCATTGCTAGGTTTACTATGAAATCAGAATTCATAACTTTGGACAAAGCTGGGGAAGAAGCAGAATGGCTTCGCCACTTCCTTGAAGATATTCCAATATGGCCAAAACTGGTGCCTGCTATATGCATGCATTGCGATAGTCAATCATCAATAGGTAGAGCACATAGTCATATGTACAATGGAAAGTCTAGACACATTCGTCGTCGACATAATACCGTGAGACAACTACTCTCTAATGAAATTATTTTCATAGAATATGTTAAGTCTAAAGACAACATAGCGGATCCACTAACCAAACGGTTCGGAAGAGAGTTAGTCGAGAATTCATCGAAGGGAGTGGGACTTAAGCCTATTAAATAAGAGTTACCACAATGGCAACCCAACCTAGTTGACTGGAGATCCCAAGATCTAGGTTCAAAGGGACAACCGAGTTGTGAATGACTCAGAAGGATCACTAGAGAGTTTAACTCCTACCCATTTCTTTGATGAAATAGTGATGTCTGCAGTGTTTGAGGATAAGTAAAATTTTAATGATTTTTATATCTAGGTACACCTAGTGGAGTATGGCAGGATACTCTTCATAAGAATCACCTATATGAGTGTGAACTGGGCCAGTTCTATGAGATTTGTGAAGAGTTACAATTCTCTAGAGCACTCATGAAAGACCAGGTTGTTCAGGACCAAAATGAACACAATAGTGAGAACTAAACTGTGTCTAGGGATATACTGTGTGAGTTCTATTGTCTTGGTTTACACAAACGGCTGAACAGTTCAAGACATCATGTTCACTGGTTAGCTAGTAAATCCAATAGTGTCTCACAAGGGAAGGTTCAAAGCCAAAAGCTACCTATCCTTTGCAGAATATTTTCAATTTTTGTACTCTCTGTATTTACATCATGTTGTTACATTTTCGGTCTGTCAATTTCATTCATGTGGGGGATTGTTGGAAAATTTATAAAGTGGTAGTTGTGAATTGAAATAGACTCCATTTTGAATGAAATGGTGTAACCTTTCATGGTGTCTTTTTGTTTTAAAGGAAGGGTCAAACCTCCATTGAATGAAAGGGTGCAAACCTTTCATGGTGTCTCTTTATTTTAAAGGAAAGGTTATGTCCCTTCTTCATACCTTTTCTATTCAAATTGAATAGGTGCCAACAAAGCCTATATAAAGGCAGCCCCATTCCAATTTTGATGGATTTCCGAAAATTCATTTGATTGTTGGAACAATCTTTATTCTTCATATTATTTTAGGAAAAATTTCAGAGAGTTATAGAACACAAGGTTCTAGTTCGTCGAACAAATTTGTTTGAAGTGCTACTATAAATTTGTGAAGATCATTGTATCCTGGGAGATAGATGCCACATAACTGTAAGCACCGTAGCGGGGCGAATTTGTCTTAAGAATAGAGTGTTACACACTCGACTTGGTCTTTTATTTTTTTGGTTCAATAAAATAAACTCTGTAAGTTATTTATTTTATTTTGTTTGATTTTTATTTTATTTACACAGAAGATTGTTCCAACAAGATATTTACAAATGGAAAATGTTTGACATCTTAATTTTTTTTTTCCATAATCCGACTGACAATGGTGTAGTCATTAGTGTCAATTTTTATACAAATATGAGAAGAGAATTAATTAAATTATACATTTCAACCAACCACATACTCAAATTTTGACAATTTGAAGATGTTATTTCACTATAATTTCAATTAAGAGAATCTTCAATACTTAATATATTTTTTTTATCAAATTATAATTTGATAAAAATTTAAACAGATGAAACGTTGAAAAAAAAAAATTTTTTTATCAAAATTGGTGAAAAGAAAAAAAAAAAATTGGAGTAAGAATAAAAGTTATTTTAAAAGTTGATAAAAACTTAATGAAAAATTTAAAGTAATTTATATCAAATCAAAATTTTTATTCAAATTTAAAATCATATTAGATAAAAAAAAATTAAAAGAAAATGATGAAAGTTTGAAAATATTTTGAAACCTTCTTATTCTTAAAAATTAGAAATCCGTGTGTTTATTATATTTCATATTGTATTTTTAGTTATAAAATTGAAATCAAAAAAAATTTAACTTAAATTATTGGAATAATAATAGAAATATCATATTAATTATTGTTAAATATCACTTCACTTCACATTTAATAATAAAATTGTATATTTGTCTTAATTATAACTTTTAAATTTGTATATTTTCATAACAAGAAGAAGTATGCCATAACTCATTTAATCAAGTTTAATTTTTTTAATACAAATTAACAAAATTGCACTAAATAATTATATATATATATTAATTTTTTTAAACTAATAATTTAAAAAGTTATAAATATAAAAGTTAACTTATAAATTTCATATATAGTACAAGACAAAATATTAAATTACTTCAAGATAATTATAATATTTTTAAAATTTTTTTTTATAAAATCCCATGTATAGCACGGATTACCACTAGTAAAAAACAAACTTAAAATGAAAGAAAGTGGAGCAAAAGATTCATTAAATTAAATTTCCTCTCCCTCAAGGTTTACACAAGTGAGAATACAGATTGTGGATATGGCTTAAGTGGATTGTGATTCTCTTTATTCCAAAATTGTGATGGAAGATTTTCATTGCATTATCTGAGAACTTATAATAATTATTTTTCATGATTGTTAATTCTTTCTTAAGCGGATTTTGTCTTAAGTCGATTCTTTCTCCAAGAGCTTGTAATAATTCTATCTTAAATGGATTCTTTCTCCAATTTAAAATATTGATAAATTGTTGTGATTATTTCACAACTCTTAGATCATATAATAGAGATCTTCCATTATAATTATGTAATGGCAAGAACTTCAATATGTCTTAAGTGGGTGTGAAAATCGCTCACTGTACATCTTATATGGCTTTCACCATATGAGGAGGGTAGTTTTATGAGTTTCATATAGTGATATCTCCTACCCAACAAGTCTCAAGCCTCAATTTTTTCTTCGTCTCTTTTATTTATTTTTGATGTTTTAGTTTTATAACAAAATTAACCATAAAAAAAATAAAAAATGCTTGGGACCCATTTTTTTGGAGATCCCCACAATCCCCTTAGATCTCAACTGTTGATGTATATGTGCAACTCATTCATGTATGTGTGGGGCTCACACCATCAATGGTTGAGATCCAAAAGGAATTGTGGGGTCTCTAAAAAAAAGAGTCTCAATCATTGTTGAAAATTTTTTTTAACAAAATGGAGTTGGCCATCAAAACTTTCGTCTGTTTTAGTATATCGGAGGTGATAGCTCGAGAATGGGGAAGTCTTGCCCATAATTTTTTGTTGAAAATTACTAGCAATCCAACACCAACTCAGAAAAAAAAAAAAAAAAAACAAAAAACAAAACAAAACAAAAACAAAAAATTAAGAAATGCATTAACTCCAAAATTAAATTACTGTAAGGTTTTCTTCTGTGCTTCTTGGTCCTCATCAATCCCAATCAGCTCTCTTCCTCTATTTGCTTGCTGCACCCAGTCCGTCCTCATCAACACAATCACCATTAAAGCAGCACACACCACTTGGGCCGCCAGAAGGCCCAACCACAACCCGGGCAAGCCCATATTCATCACCAAGCCCATCACCACCGCAATCGGCAGCCCAACTCCGTAAAAAGCACCTAGATTTATATTCGCCGCCGTGGTTGGCCGCGCACTTCCCCTCAACACCCCACACCCGGCGGTCTGCGGGCAGTTCCCCAGCTCACACAGCCCCGCCACTGGCATCGCCGCCACTGTCAACCCCAAAATCGCTTCGTCGCTGCTGAAACCACGTCCCCAAGCATTCCTCATTGTCACCATGAAAACCATAGCAACCAACCCATTAAAAGCAGCGCACGATAGAGCGATCAGAGACGATGTCCTGGCTTTACCGGGTTGGTTGGCACCTAACTCGTTCCCAACACGGGTTGACACGGCTAGACTCAGCGACGAAGGGAAGATGTAGACAAACGACGTCGCTTGCAAGAGAATCCCCATGGTGGCCACCGCCTCAGCCGCGTTGGGCAGTAACCCGGATAAGACTATCATCAGCTCATACCACCACCACTCCAAACACACAGACACACAGCTTGGCACCGCTAGTCCGATAAGTGTTTTCCAATCGTTAAAACAAACAATTGAGTCGCATTGTTGCCACGATTTTCTACAAATGCCTGAAAAGCAGAGGTAGAGCAATAGGGTTATGAGTAGGTTGAGGTCTGTTATGGCTGCGGCCATGGCAATGCCTCGAATCCCGAGACCGAGACGATGGACGAGGAAGTAGTTGATGGGGGCGTGGAGAGCGAGAGCCAAGGCTGCGCTGAGGATCAGAGGGAGAGTTATGTTCTGGGTCCTTAGGTAGATTTTGAGAGGGTTGATGAAGGATTGAAAGAGGAGGTCTGGGAGAGAGAAAGAGAGGTATGTTGAGGCAATGGAGGACATTGTTGGGTCTTGGCCGCAAAAGAGAAGGATGGGTTTGATGTTTAGCCATAAGACTGAGATGGGTATGGAGGCGATGACTAGAATTGTGATGGTGCGTTGTAGGGTTTGGTACATGACTTGCCATTGCTTGGCTCCGTGGGCTTGAGAAGAGATGGCTTCCATTCCCATGGCGAGACCGGAGATGATGGAGTAGCCGGTGATGTTCGCGATGCCCGTTGAGAGAGACCCACCGGCTAATGCCTCTTTTCCTAGTCTTCCCATGAAGAGCATTGATATCACTGATTTGCCGTAGATGAGTAGGCCGGTGATGATCATGTGAGTGGCTAAGATGTAGACTTGTTTGATCTCTTGAACCACCTATATATTGAGAAAAATAAAGAACATATTCATAACCCACAATACAAAAATTAAAAATTATCAATATTTTACAAGATATGGTAGTGTAGACGAACATCAGAGAGGGTTGGTCGCCGCGGATGAGACTGAGAATGGTCTTGATCATCGCAGGAAGAGAATTTGAATTTGGGAAGGGTTGGGGTATACATCAAGAGAGGAGTTGCTGAAGTAGTGAGAGCTTTGTGGTGATCATCCATCTTCATATTCAAAGATTTTCACTCTCTTATTCTGTGGTCGTCGACGGTGAGATCGATTGTTAAACTGTCTCTTTAGAGATTGAAAGAAAGAGAGATGGGGTGATGGGAAAATATGATTTGTGGAGAAACGTCACCGACTGCTTTGAAAGCATTTGTTATTATGAGTCTTCTTATGAGTGAGAGTAACATATTCCTTTCTTTGCATCTCTTCTATTAATGAATGAATGATAGCACCTACTTTGTTCCATTAGCACACTCTCTATATACACATACAAAAATATATGTGTAGATGTGTATACACTAGACAAATGCGCGTGTGCAGTGTTAGTTAGAGTTTTGGGGGTGAGGAGGGGACGAGTGTGAGTGTGGGGAGTATAAGGTGAAAGGTGGCAACGAGATTAGGGTTTGTCCTCATGCAGCCTCGTAGGTGTCCCTATGGACTCTGCTACTATTATCAACACCCAGTATTAGCCACCTCAAAAACCACTGCAAAAATTTTTATAAAAAAAAAATTGTTATATATAATTCAATTTTTTAAACTATTTTTTCAAGTTTAGACACAAGTGAGTGATTGGTGTCACTTGTGTTGTATCATGAGTGAAAAATTTGTGTAAAAGATGTGATTTTGTATAGTGTAGATTTATTTTGAGTGTGACTTGTATTTAAATCTATATCATATGGTATTATAATAATATTATGCGGTATTTTAAGAAGTTGGTAAAAAGTTAATTTTTTGACTTTTTTAGTCTATTTTATCTTTTTGTGAGTAAAAAATGAGAGAGGTAATATGACCTAAAATGGATAAAAAGTCAAAAGCTAATTTTTTTACTGAGTTGCCAAAATATCCCTATATATTCAAAATGAAAAAGAAAAAGAGAGTATATTTTTGAACCACATTCAATCTAAGTGTAAAAAGGCAATGTACATAACATTTCATATGTACTATTTCTGTTTATCAATATTTTAGTGTCTTCAATATAACATTGTTGATATGACCAATATTTTTTACTTCTCAATGATTACCATTTCTGTGGTTCTTTTTTTTCTTTGTTTATTTATTTATTTTTTCACACGGTTGGAATGGTTAACACTATCCAAATAGAATTTTAATGAATACACAAACTTCATACATAATGATATGGATGTTTATGGCCATTCATTTATAATTAAAAGTGTCTGGTAATTACAAATATATTATTATCACATTATTCAATACATTTTATATATAAAAATTCTATTTGTAAATCACTTTCTTATTGAAAAGGCCAAAATTAGAAAGCTACCACCATCAACATAACATCGGTGATTATTCTATTTCTATTTTTGTATGATTAATGATAGAAATACATAAATTAGTCGTAAATCTGTGATCGATTTCGATATTTGTTTAAATCTTCTAGTTCGTGATCCTCCATGATCTTCCAAACAATCAGGAGGGTTGAGAATTGAGGTGGTGTGACATATTATGACTCTATTAATTGGAAATTTCTATTTTCAATGCTCTCAAATTTTGGTTTTTGAACAAAGTGGATCTCTTGGATGAAGGCGTGTGTAACAACAAGAAGGATATCAATTCTAGTGAATGGAAAGAATTTTGCCCACAAAAAGGACTCAGACAAGGTGATCCTTTGTCACCATTCTTATTTACTGTGGCAGCAGAAGGTTTGAGCATCTTACTAAGGAAAGCAAGGGAGTTGGGAATTATAAAAGAGGTGGAGATTGGTGCTAATAAAGTAGTAGTGTCTCATTTGCAATTCGTAGATGATTCATTACTCTTCTGTGAGACAGAATGGGTGGAAATATCAAATCTTAAAAGGATTTTAAGGTGGTTTGAGATTTTATCAGGGCTGAAGATCAATTATCATAAAAGTGTAGTGTGTAGAGTGGAAGTTTCTGATACTCTACTTAAGGATTTTGCAACCTTGTTAAACAGTATCTTGGGTTGCCATTGGGGGCTAGTCCAAGTAAGAAGAAAACTTGGAAGCCAATTATTGATAATGTAAAGCTTAAACTTGCTAGATAAAAGAGGAGGTTTTTATCATTTGTTAGTAGGCTGACTTTGATCAAGGTAGTGCTATCCAATTTGCTAGTGTACTACCTATCTTTATTTAAGATGCCAGAAGGAATAGCAAGGGAGATTGACAGAATTCAAGCTGTTTTTTTATGGGGATGAGCAGATTTGAAGAGGAAATTACATTTTGGTGAAATGGAATAAGGTAACTAGTGTTGGAAAAATATGATTTTATAGGCTTATTTTGGGCCAAATTTGAGCCCAAATTTGAGTGGGTCCCAAATGTCTTTTGGGGTGAGTCTAAAGAGATGACGTGTTCCTTGCCACGTGGCAAGTCACACGGTGCAAACGGTTCATCAAAACCATTCATAAGTGAATGTGAAGTTGACGTCGTTTTCGGGTTCGTGGAATGGACAAATAAAGAATAAAATGTGGGTTTCCTTGTAAGGCTTGTCCCACATTGGAAACTAAAGAGAACTTATGTGTCTATATAAGTTCTAAGCGGCAACACTTGAATTGGGTCCTAAGGGGTACCCCAAGTTTGTAGAAGAAAGGAGTTATGAACAAAGTGAATCTTGGTTCAAACCACAACACGTGCGCGCCGCCTTCTGTCCGGCCGTGCCGGGCGTAGTGGTTGGTCGCGTATGTTCTAACTTTAATTATTTGAACAAAATTTATTTGACTTTTTTCAAAAATTCTTACAGGAAAAATTTGAATTTTACACCAATTTGAATTCAATTTTTTTGCTCAAAACTAGTGTGTTTTTTCCAAAACCAATCTAAACAGTTTGCAACATGTTTTTGCACCGGACAGATTTCATTCTTCCCATAACAGATTTAAAACTGCCATCAGTTTTTAACAGGTCAAAATTGCCCAACAGTTATCTGTTCAAATCTAGACTGCACTTGTTCATTTCAAAAACGGATTTGTTCATTTGAAATTCTTACCTGTTCAGATAGATCTGTTTGGTCACCAATCTGCCTATAAAAGCAAACTATTTTCAGCATTTCTAACGTGCAGAAAAATTATCTTGCTTCTCGTTTTTGCTTTTGTGCATTGTTATTCTTCATATTAGTTTTAGGGAAATTTCAAAGAGTATAGAACACATATTTTGTTCGCCGTACAGATTGTTTGGAGTGCTACTACAATTTGTGTTTTTAACAACTCTATGTTTTTATTTGCTTTTAGTTGTGAATATTGTCGAAGGATAATATAATCCGCTAAACAAAAAGTTTGACTAGAGAGCAAATGAGGAAAAATTCATCGAGGTGAATGTGATTAAAGCATATTACATCAGAGTCATCATAATGGTAACTCTACTTAGATGACTGAAGATCCCAATATCTAAGTTCAAAAGGACAACTAAGTTATGTGTAGCTCGCTAGAAATCACTAAAGGAATCTATCTCCTATCCATTCCTATGATAGGAGTGATATCTGCAACATGTGTTGTATGCAAGGGACTTAGGGTAAGTTATGCTTTTAATGATCACTTATATCTTGGAAAACCTAAAGGGGTATCTTTTAAAAAGAGTATTTAAGAGACTCGAAAAAGGATCACCTATATGAGTGTGAACTGGGCTAGTTTTATGAGATTTGTGAAGGGTTACAATTCTCTAGAGCACTCATGAATGACCAGGTTATTCAGGGCCAAAATGAACACAATAGTGAGAACTAAACTGTATCTGGGAATATACTAGATGAGTTCTATTGTCTTGATTTACACAAACGGCTGAACAGTTCAAGACATTATGTTCATTGGTTAGCTAGTAAATTCGATAGTGTCTAACAAAGGAAGGTTCAAAACCAAAAGTTACTTATCCTATACAGAATATTTCTAATTTCTATACTCTTTATAATTAGACTATGTTGTTGCATTTTCTCTCTGTCAAATTCCATTCATGTAGGAGATTGTTGGAAAAATATGATTTTATAGGCTTATTTTGGGTCAACTTTGAGCCCAAATTTGAGTGGGTCCCAAATGTCTTTTGGGGTGGGTCCAAAGATGTGACGTGTTCCTTGCCACGTGGCAACTCACACAGTGCAAACGGTTCGTCAAAACCATTTATAAGTGAATGGAAAATTGAAGTCGTTTTCGAGTTCGTAGAATAGACAAATAAAGAATAAAATGTGAGTTTCCTTGTAAGGCTTATCCTACATTGGAAACTAAAAAGAACTTATGTATGTATATAAGTTCTAGGTGGCAACACTTGGGTTGGGCTCCAAGGGGCACCTCAAGTTTGTAGAAAGGAGGAGTTATGGACAAAGTGAACCTTGGTCCAAGTGCGGGTGTGGGTGGTGGGTCGAGTCCATCCTAACTTTAATTTTTTGAACAAAATCTAGTTGAATTTTTTCAAAAATTCTTATAGGAAAATTTTGAATTTTGCACCAATTTGAATTCAAATTTTTTGCTCCTAACTAGTGTTTCTTTTCCAAAACCAGTCCAAATAGTTTATAACCTGTTTTTGCACCGGACAGATTCAATTCTTCCCATAATAGATTTAAAACTGCCAGCAATTTCCAACAGGTCAAAACTGTCCAGCAGTTATCTGTTCAAATCTAGATTGCACCTGTTCATTTCAAAAACAGATCTGTTCATTTGGAATTCTTACCTGTTCGGACACATCTGTTTGGTCACCAATCTGCCTATAAAAGCAAACCTATAAAAGCAAACCATTTCCAGCATTTCTAACATCCAGAAAAGTTATCTTGCTTCTCATTTTTGCTTTTGTGCATTGTTGTTCTTTATATTAGTTTTAGAGAAATTTCAGAGAGTATAGAACACAGGTTTTGTTCGCCATACAGATTGTTTGGAGTGCTATTATAATTTGTGTAAAGATCATTGTATCCTGGGAGATAGACGTCATTTATCCTTAAGCACCGAGGCGAAGCGAATCTGTCTTAAGGACAGAATGTCGCACACTCGACTTGATCTATTTTTGTACTTATATATTTCAGTAAATAAATTATGTAAGCAATTTATTTTATTTGTTTGATTTGGTTTCAACTTTTTTAGAGAAATATTTGAGAGTATAGAATATAGGTTTGGTTCGTCGTACAAATTGTTTGGAGTGCTACTACAATTTGTAAAAATCATTATATCTTGAGAGATAGACGCATTTTATCCATAAGCACCATAGCGGGGCAATTATGTCTTAAGGACAGAGTGTCACACACTCGACTTGATCATTTTTATTATTTTTCATTTCAGTAAAATAAATTCTGTAAGTAATTTATTTTTATTTGTTTGATTTGTTTTAACTTATTTATTTTACAAAGAAGATTGTTTCAACAATCTTAAGACAGATTTGAATTATTCTGTTTAAAC